TCTGTGTCAGCACACGGGTGCAGTGGCTGCGTTGGCCCTCAGCAGCGCGTCTGTGTCAGCACACGGGTGCAGTGGCTGCGTTGGCCCTCAGCTGCGCGTCTGTGTCAGCACATGGGTGCAGTGGCTGCGTTGGCCCTCAGCTGCGCGTCTGTGTCAGCACAGGGATGCAGTGGCTGCGTTGGCCCTCAGCTGCGCGTCTGTCAGCACACGGGTGCAGTGGCTGCGTTGGCCCTCAGCTGCGCGTCTGTGTCAGCACAGGGATGCAGTGGCTGCGTTGGCCCTCAGCTGCGCGTCTGTGTCAGCACAGGGATGCAGTGGCTGCGTTGGCCCTCAGCTGCACGTCTGTGTCAGCACACGGGTGCAGTGGCTGCGTTGGCCCTCAGCTGTCTGTGTCAGCACAGGGATGCAGTGGCTGCGTTGGCCCTCAGCTGCGCGTCTGTGTCAGCACAGGGATGCAGTGGCTGCGTTGGCCCTCAGCTGCACGTCTGTGTCAGCACACGGGTGCAGTGGCTGCGTTGGCCCTCAGCTGCGCGTCTGTGTCAGCACACGGGTGCAGTGGCTGCGTTGGCCCTCAGCAGCGCGTCTGTGTCAGCACACGGGTGCAGTGGCTGCGTTGGCCCTCAGCGGCGGCGCTGCTTTGGTTCCTTCCTCTGCCCTCTCTGAGCCTGCCGTGCCTTCGTCTAGCTCTGTAATGTGCTGCGCTGCGTAAACGCTCCTTAGGGGAACACCAGGATGCCATTTGTGGTGTGCTGCCTCCGGCACGGCCCAGTCTGACCTTATCAAGAGGACTTGGCAGCTGTTCCCTGAGGACACAGCGTTGTAGGGACGAACGTGAGCGTACTCTCCGTGCACACCCGGGCAAAGCCTGATCCTTGCCCTCCTACCACTAGGCAGGTGAAGGACCAGAACAAGAAGGTGGCGAACCTAAAGCACAAGGAGCAGGTGGAGAAGAAGAAGAGTGCACAGATGCTGGAGGAGGCCCGGCGCAGGGAGGACAGCCTCAGCGACAGCTCCCAGCAGCTGCAGGTCAGTGGCCCGCTCTGCCCGCTCCCAGCCCGTGCTCGGTCAGCGGCCCACTCCCTGCTCCCTGCAGCCACGCCGCCATCCCAGCCCGTGCTCGGTCAGCGGCCCACTCCCCGCTCCCTGCAGCCACGCTGCCATCCCAGCCCGTGCTCCCCGCTTCTAACCCTCCTTCTAACCCTGCTTGCTGCTTTCCTCTCAGCCCAGCGTGCAGCAAGGGACAGGCTTCAGCTAGAAGGGCCAGTGTCCTTGTGCCGCTGGGAGGACACGTGGGTGTAGGAGGAGGCTGGTCGCACGTGATTGGTAAGCTCACTCGGTTCTGTGAGGGGGTCCCCAGGTTAGCACCCCGGGGTCCCTGGAACCACGTGCTGGTTCCACTCACTACAGTGCATTGCAAAGACGTGGCTCGTGTCTTCCTTCCTCTTCTCCTTTTTCGCTCTTCCTTCCCCTAATGCAGTGCAGAAAATTTCCCACGATCATGCACATTATATTTATTTCACATCAACAAAGTGCATGAACCAGCCCAGCATTCGTAGCAGCCGCCATCCAGGGTCCCCCACCCCCAAGCCCTTACCCAGCCCTGTCATCACCTTTCCCAGCCTGTGTCATGTCCAGTGTGTGTTTTGTACCCGGGGAAATCAGCTGAGAGGTGTTGGATGGATGACTTACTAAACACACATGCTTTCTCTAAGAGGCTCAGCCGTGGTTTGAACGGGGACCTCAGGGCCGGCGGCCCCTTGGTAAAGAAAGTTCCGTTTTGCGGGAACTCTGTCAGCTAGCAGCTGGTCTGTCCTTGCAGCTGGAGACCAGGTGTGGTACAGTATGCAAGGCCCAGCTGCATGGCAACACCACCCTCCGGGGGGGGCGTGGAGTTGGTATCGTGTGGGAGCTGTGTGTAGGCGCGAGGCGTTGGGAGAGAGTGGCGGTGCCAGTGCAAGGCTGGGTCCCTGTGACCCATCTCGTAGAAATCCGAATTGGTTCCTCCTCTTCTGTTAATCTGTCGCCATCAGTCTTTCATTCAGAGACAGATTTGAAGGGAACAGCTGGTCTCAGTGAGTTTCCCCTGCGTTCCTCTCAGCCTTTGCGTTCCTTGTTGAACTTTGGGGTGGGGAGAGCGGCTGCGGCGGGAGTGGCACAGCCGAGGTGAGGAGCTGTGGTTTGCCGCCAACAGGGCAGGCGTCAGGAAGCAGGTTCAGAAGGCCTACTGGTGGGCTGTGTCACGGCGGTGCTGAAGGATCCAGCGTCCTTTCTGACTTCGCGAGTGGAGGCGTAGTGGACGCTCTCTTAGCTTACTCCCTTGGGGGCCCTGTTTAAGGAGACCGAGGATCTGATGGTAGCTACCCACTTCCTCCCCCTCCACCAGGTCTTCCAGACCCCAGGAGGCAGTCTCTGGGCTCAATGATCCTTGAGCTGTGTGCTCTGACCTCATTTAGTAAGCATGGTTGGCAAAAATCAGCCTAGGAAAAGCAAGATGTGTTAGGATAATTAACGCAAAGTGGAACTCCACAGATGGTGTGAACCGGGCACACAGGGAGAGCTCACGCTCTCGGCAGGTGTGTGCGGCCCGCGGCACACGCACACGAGCCGCCTTGGGTAGACACAATGAAACCTCCTTAGGGCAGGGGAGGGGACTGAACATTTCCCACTTGGTCTTATTAGGCTGCTACTGACTTTCTTGGAAATAATGAATACCATTAAGTTAACTCCATATGGTCACCGTAATTCCTGTCTTTATAAGTTGATTTTTTAACTGAAAAATCATTACGTATTTATGGATGATGCTCATATTAAGTGTGATGCTTAATATTTGTATATGTTGTATAATAATTAAGCCAGGCTGATTAGCATATCCATCACCTCACATCTTAAGTCTTCGTGGTAAGAACATTTAAAATCCATCCCTAGCAATTTTAGGGCTGTGCATGTTAGTACATGCTTGTAATCCCAACAGTCGAGAAGCTGAGGCAGGAAGCTCATAAACTCAAAGCTGCAAAAAAAAAAAAAGTATTTTTGAAAATACACAATATGTAATTTTAAGGTAGACTGTTTGAGGATAAGTCTTTCTGACTTTTCCTTCTATATGTAGTAAGTATCTTTACTTTTGGGGCCAACAAGACTTTCAGTCTCTTAATTTCTTTTTTTTTTTTTTTTTTTGTCGGTCATGGGGCTTGAACTCTGGGCCTGAGTACTTAGTGGGCCTCAACTCTTTGGCTCAAGGCAAGCGCTCTACTGCTTGAGCCACAGCATCACTTCCAGTTATCTAGTGGTTTATTGGAGATAAGAGTCTCAGGACTTTTCCTGCCCAGGCTGGCTTAGAACCTTAATCCTCAGATCTCAGCCTCCTGAGTAGCTAGGATGACAGGTGTGAGCCAAGGGCACCTGGCCAGTCTCTTCGTTTCTTTTTTTTAAAAAAAAAAAAGATTGTTTCCCCAAACACTGAGATGTGAGAATCCACTCAGATATCAGCAGCTAAACTTAACGAGCCTCTGTGTGTGACTCATTCATTAAGTTTGATAGCTGGCATATCATGGTGTATTCTCCTAGCACCCAACTACTCATGAATTGAATTACTCCGATTTTTCATCATTATCTCCAGAAAGCGCCTGTTGTTAGATCTCAGCCGTGGGCAGGTTTTGTTCTGAGTAATTCCTGACAGCGGATTGCTCATCCGTTTCCAGCCTGGCCTCCTTGTTCCCTGCCTTTTAGCCTTGTCTGTATGTTTGCCTTCCACTTTGATTCAGTCTCACATGGGCTGCGTGTGTGTGCGTGTGTGTGCGTGCGTGCGTGCGTGTGTGTGTGTGTGCGTTTGTGTGTGGTGAGGGTCCAGTTCACCTCACAAGCCGTGTTCTCTCAGAAGGTGGGGCTCAGCTGCGGGTGAACCAGCCTCAGTTCTGCTTGGATCACCATCCCCTCGTGTGCCGTCCTCTTCCACGAGGCTTGGGTTGGGCCGGGTGAATGTAGAGGAAGGCAGCCGGGTGACCTCGGCTTCCAAAGCGAGTCACCAGAGACATGGCCGCTCCTGCCGTGCTCCTGGGAGGCTGGCCAGGACGAGTGGGACTGGAGCTCAAGCGGCACTGCCCTGCTGATTCCCGGGGTTGGACGTTTGTTTCAAGTCCAGTCGGCCACTTGGGCCTTTGTCCTGAGACATATCTTTGCAGACCTTCGGTACCCTTTAAAATTGTTGGGTTTTTTTTTTCTGTACAGTTGAGTTCCTTAAGTTGACAGATATCTTCTTACATTCTTCACGTCCTCTTTCTCCCTCTTGATTGTTCATTGTGCAGAACAGAAGCTTTTGGGTTTGGTGTAATCCATTTGTCTATTTTGCTTCTGTTGCCTGTGCTCATGAAGTTTTATCCTCAGAAGTCTTCATTCGGCCCGTGTCATGAAGCTTTTCCTCTTTATTTCCTTCTAGTAGTTTCTTAGCTTTAAGTCTTTAATCCCGTTGGGTTGTTGCTGAGTGCAGTGACAGGTGAAGGTCTGATTTCATTGTTCTGCAGTGACAAATGCCACTCCTTGTTCTCCAGAGGCAGGGCTTGATTCTTCCTCGTCTTGTGCTGTAAGGATTTTAAACTGAAGTGTTTACATCAGTGTGCTGAGTCCAGTCTCCATTGGATTGCAACTCTTCTTCATTTAGTCTTCTTTACTGTCTTATAAGATCTTAAGGACTGATAGGATTTTGTTTCTGACAGATTGTACTTGTCTCCATTTTGAACTTGACCTAACCCAGGTGAACCTCAGAGAATCCTGCCCAGGTATAGCCAGAACAGTCATACTCATCCTGTGGTTTCCAGTTGTATGCGTGGGATGAAGAGAAATACTTCACATTCTTGAAAAATATTAGAAACATCTTTTCACTTCTTTTCAATCCTGGGGCTTGAACTCTGGGCCTGGGCGCTGTCCCTGAGCTGCTTTTGCCCAAGGCTAGTGCTCTACCACTTGAGCCACAGCACTATTTCCAGCTTTTTTGAGTTTATTGGAGATAAGAGTCTCATGGACTTTCCTGTCTGGGCTGGCTTTGAGCCACGGTCCTTGGATCTCAGCCTCCTAAGTAGCTAGGATTATAGGCATGAGCTACTGGCACTCAGTAGTCTTTTCACTTTTTAATAGTAGTTTGCAAATAATGGTCTATATGAAGAATTCAGTCTGAAAAATGTTGTTCACTTGACTTTTTTTTTTATCTAGGCATAATAGTTTTCCAGGGAAAGAGGATGTTTTGATATGCAGTCTGTGTAGAGATCTTCAAAGCTGACTACTTGAATCTCAGTTGACAGAGGAGTTCAGAATCGGCTTTCTGCTTGCAGACAATTGAGCCCTTATTAGCGGTGCTTTCTAATCCCGCTGCAGAGAGCAAACCCATCGTGCCTGTCTTGCTAGCGGTGCTTTCTAATCCCGCTGCAGAGAGCAAACCCATCGTGCCTGTCTTGCGTAACTAACTTGACCCTTGGCTTTCATCATCAACTTCACCTCCTTCCTTCTTTTCTTCCTTCACCTCTGCTTTCCTCTCTGATCATACTTCTCTGATGGAGTTGCTTCCAAAGGAAGTAATACCCTTCCTTGATACATAGGCTCTCCGTGGCCAACTGACTCATCTGCCTCACCCAGTCTTCCGTCGTTTTCCAGGACAGTCTTCGTAAGAAGGATGACAGGATTGAAGAGCTGGAAGAAGCACTGAGAGAAAGTGTGCAGATCACTGCAGAGCGGGAAATGGTGCTGGCGCAGGAAGAGTCAGCCAGGACCAATGCTGAGAAACAGGTCTGCGATTTCTGTACCGTTACTATAGCAGCACTTCCCGGTAAACACAAGGTGACACCTAAGCAGCGTCGTTTAGGTCAAGTTGACATGCTCTTGTATGTTTACAGGGTGTCAGAGACCCCCAAGCGTAAGTATTTAGACTCCAGCAGTGATGGAAATGGAGCTGTTCAAGAATTGGCTTGTGTTCATGTAGCAGTCTGATTGCCCATGTGTTCATACAGTACAAGCCACGCAATGAGCGCTGAGATGAAACTCAGCCATTGCAGACCCTGGCTTTTTCACCAGATGACAAAACACAAGTGTCTCTGATTTAAAGATGGGAATTTCAAATAGCAGGCAGATGATCTGTTGTATAGGTTGTTCTGTTCAAAAAGCAATGCAGTTAGAAAGGAGAATGATAGAGTTAGAAGGGAAAGCGATGCCGTTGGGAAGGTGTGTGTTACAATGACAGATAGAGAAGGCGGAGACACTGCGGCGCTGGGTCCCAGACGAGCGTGGGGCTGTCGGCTTCAAGGTGACTCACTTCTGTGGGTCTGTCGGTTTCAGGGTGACTCGCTTCTGTGGGGCTGTCGGCTTCAGGGTGACTCGCTTCTGTGGGGCTGTCGGCTTCAGGGTGACTCGCTTCTGTGGGGCTGTCTGCTTCAGGGTGACTTGCTTCTGGCTTTCGCCGTTCCTCTTGGGCTCACTTCAGACCTTGCCACTTCTCTTTATGTCCCTGCACCCTTTGGTGAAGAATATCTAAGCTTGGGAAGCAGAGGTGAAGAAAGTGCTAGTAAGTGAAGGAGGTGACCTCAGTCTGTTCCGAGAAGGTGCCCAGGTAGGCCGCCTCCCACAGAGGTTCATGGCATTTCACCTCTGCCGTGACCGTGTCCCTTCCTTGGCTTGGTGGGAGATCAGTAAGTCCAGCCCAGGTAGCGCAGACAGAGGCTGCTGGGAAGTGTCTCTGTGAGCTGGAGTGAGGCCCCCACCCGGGCTGCCCTCCATCCCTGTGTGCTGCAAGGGCACGCTTGCTTAGTGCCCTGTGTGCTGCGAGGGCACGCTTGCTTAGTGCCCTGTGTGGAATCTGATCTGTCATGGGCACGTGTCCCGCATTCGCCCTCCAGCGGTGGCGGGAGGGGGCAGGGGCTCGTCCTCCCTGACCGCAGCCCCTCAGGGTCGGGGGTTGTCTTCCATCTTGACTGAGCCCCTTGCACATTCTCTCCTTTATTTTTCAAATGCCCTCTCCTTTCTCTTCTCCTTTCTGTAAAGATTTCCTTCTGCTTTCGTCTAGTAACAAGTCTGAAATATCAGACATACACATTTTGGAATTTATATGCATTGCCAGAATTCATATTTCGGCTACTGGTGGCACATTTCTTTACCTAGCCTATAGATTTGCCACCGTTTGTCATTTGTTGAAGGACATTCTTGTTCCAGCTTGTGTGTGTGTGTGTGTATGCATGCATGCATGCATGCTCATGTGTTACTGGGTTACTGGGACTTGAACTCAGAGCCTCTGGCTTTCCCTTGGCTTTTTCACAGAGGCTGGTGCTCTGCCACTTGAGCTACAGCTCCACTTCTAGTTTTTTGCCTGTTACTTAGAGATTAGAGCCTCTTGGACTTTTATCTGTCCAGGCTGGCTTCAAACCTTAATCTTAACTATTCAGAATGGTAGTCAGAATGGAAAAATAAAATTGAGAAGTTATTACTATCCCTAATCTGGCCTTTAGTCTTCTAGCTAGTGAGAGCTAACTGAAAGTCTTGTCTAGCAAACGGTCTTCAACTCATATTCATGAACCATAAATGACATTAGAAACGCATAGTAGGATTGGTACTTCTTACCATTATTGGTAAATTCAATGTTAGATTTTCAAGATTTGTGTCATCTTTTCCTGCCTTAAAATAGGATTTTTAATACTGATTGCTTTCATTTGGCTACATTTTCTAGCTTATAGAAGTTTTTAATGTATATTTGAGTCACTTTCTTTACTTATCCTTGTAAGTCATAAGCTCTCTTATAAGTCATTTCTCCCTCTGGTGAAGATTCTAGAGATGATCAGCTGGGCAATCTAAAACTGTTACATATGCAAACAAGTTTCTAGAACCAGGGAGAATTGTTTTCTTTATTTTTGTACGTTAGCAAGATAGCCAGGTTACTTACTGGTTTCTGACAGGTTTTTAAAACTGATATTAATTCTTAGATCCAAGCTACTGTTGTTCAAAGATGTTTTATTTTAAAGTGGAAGACAGCGTTTTGCAGCATTGCCAGTCAGCATGTGGAATGTGCCTCTTTTTTGGTTAAGACCTGAAGAGACGAAACGGTTAAGCTCTTCTTGCCATCGCATAATCAGGCGCCTATTGAAATCGAGAGCCCGGTGGGTCTGGATCCTGGCCCTCATGTCAGGGAGCTCCTCTTCTCCGTCACAGTGACTGGTGGCGACATCAGTCACTTGACAGGTCCTAGAGCAAGCCTGCAGGAAGGACGTCACATTGGCCTCCCTGGTGACAGCTGGCTGCAGGCGTCACAGGCTGCCACTTCCAGGCCTGCTGTGGCTGGCGTACTGGAGGAGGGTGTGGAATGGCGGTGCCCCCATACCAGAGGTTACCATGCTTGGCTTCCCCGGCTGATCTGAGAATGTATATGAGATGATCAAAAGGTAGAAGAAATGGTCTGTAGTAAGGCAACCACGTATTGTCCTGCATTTCCGTTTGTTACTGAAATTAACAATGTTCAAGCACTGAGATGCGTTTGATTTGAAGTCTATAATAAGCACAGTCTCCAAGGACTGATGGGGAAAAATTAAAGCTCTGTACTATGGATGTAGCCACTTTCAGACACATAGAGTAAGATGGGGTGGGGGTCAGGGGTGGAGGCTTTTCTAACCTGCCTTCCATTTCCCCTTGGAATTGTTACATATTTATACACTGGATCCCGGTGCGAACGGAAGAGCACACGGCTGAGATGGGTAAGCTCCAGTGCAAGTGGACGCGGTTCTGTGCTCAGTAACTGTTCCAAAACGGAAGCTCCCTGCCCCTGTGTTTAAATCATGTTCATCTAAGTATGCCAGAGACGATTTGAAATAACAACAACAAAAATGGATCTCAGTTTTAATAAAGCACTTAGCAAAATCTTAGTATGCTAGCAAGTGTCCTCAGATAATAGGAAAAAAGGCAAGAACACACATCCTCTTGCTAGATTCATGGTTAGTAATTTCACAAAAAGCAAATAAGAAGCCTATATATAATGAATATGGCAGTGAAAATCACGGGGCTTTCCGATGCCACAGAGCTAGCCGAGACCCTTTGGGTTCCTTTGCTCTGATCTGTTTTCCTAATGCCCTTAAAATTCACCTTCATCAAATCTGGGTTATCAGAACCTTAGCTGCCATGACTTCCTCTGTCACTGCCAGCTGGGGTCAGACAGCCACTGGAGAATTCCTGGCGTGAACCCGAAGCCCAGGCTTCCCTTCACTCCACGACCACGTGATGCGCCACGGTGAAGTCCATCTCTGAGCGTGAGTGGTTTGTAACAGAAATTCCTAAAGTAGCGCATTTGGATTTGTCTTTAGTACCAGTTTTTTCCTTTTGAAAGTGTTTGGCAAAATGGGAAACGTTTCTTTTTTTTTTTTTTGGTGGGGGGGTCCAGTCATGGGCCTGAACTCTGGGCCTGGGCGCTGTCCCTCAGCTCTTCAGCTCAAGGCTAGCGCTCTACCACTTGAGCCACAGCACCACTTCCGGCTTTTTTTTTCTGCTTATGTGGTGCTGAGGAATCAAACCCAGGGCCTCATGCATGCAAGGCAAGCACTCTACCACTGAGCCACCTTCCCAGCCCAGAAACATTTCTTAATGTAGGTTTGTTTTCATTTTTATCCAACAAGAGCGCTACATCTCTGTTTTCAAAAGTTGTAACTAAATGGAAAGATTAACAGAACTGGAAACAAAACAGAACAAAACCAGCGGGCACCCTGAATGCTGCATGGGCAGATGGGTCCGAGGCCTGCAGACGCCGTGTTCCCAGCAGACGTGATGTAACAGTTGGGTGTGATCGTGTGACACCCTGCGTGCATCCCCTGCACCAGAAATGGCTTCTGGAATCTGTAGCACTTCTGGGACAGATGGTGAATAATACTTTGCCTGCGGTGGCATCTTGGGTGGCGCTTTCTGAGTTCCCTCCTGCTGGAAGTGTGGCAAACCTCATTACTGCAGATCGGGGCCACCGTGAGCCACATGCTTCCCACAGGGTTGTATGCGCAGCATGCGCTCTCCTTGGCTGTACCTGGGCTGCTGTTCTCAGCGAAAGGTACTTTCCCAGAGGGATGTGCGTGATGGGGTCAGGTCTGTTCTACTGGACAGAGTCCACGCAGGTATGCCCTGTGCTGCCCGCCACTCACTCCCCGCTTCACCGCACAATTGACAGTGAGCTCACAGTGCGTCTGTCGCACCACAGCCGAGTGCTGCGGGTTCTGTTCCTCGTTTCTCAGCTGTGACTTAGGATAAGTTCTGTAGTCTCCGTGAGCTTATACAGAACGACAGCTGCGTCTGTGTGGGAGACGGCACCATGCCACACCCCGAGAGTCCACTGATGACCTCCACCAGGATCACTTGTGAGGATTGTAGTAACTACAAGATGGCCTGCAGATATCATGACCAAAAGAGTCCTCCGTGTGCATGTGACACACACACACACACACACCCTTGCTTGTGCCCTCTGGGATGCCAGACACTAAGTTGTACCTTTGACTTTCCTCCTCTGGCAAAGTGAGTTTTTCCAGATAGGGTTTTGTGCTAACTTTGCAGCCTTGCACATAGGTGGAACCACAGACACATGCCACCCCGTCTGGCTTGACTCGGAAACAGAATCTCACTTTACCTAGCCGGCTTGAACTGTGCTCCTCCTGACCTCTGCCTGCCTGCGTAGCTGAGGTCACCGTGTGGGTCACCCTGCCTGGCCACGAAGAACTCTTCCAACGCTGGTTGGTCCCCTCAGCGCAGGTGCTCCTCAGCAGAGGCTCCAAGCCCTG